TTTCTTTTTTGACTAATAGTTAATATATAATTTGTTAATGCAAAAAGTATAGCAAATGTATTACATAATTGTTAATATTACAATCAATTTTTAAATTACAATTGTATACTGTGAATAACTGTATATTAAATTTTGATTATGCGCAACACTTAGACTATATTTGTTCTTTTTTGAGATCTCAAAGAATTACAATATAATAAAGTCAAAATTTTACTATACAAATCATAGTAGTGTTACAGCGATACTCAAATTACAGGACAATATTTACAGATATAGAATTGTTTTTTAGTAATAAGGTGACACAAATAAATTACACAAATAGTATAGATAATACAGGTAATACAGGTAATACAATTTATATTAAAGAAAAGGGTACAGATATTAGATGGCCAATCCAATATCCAAGGGAAGGTAGAAATTGTAGAGATATATCTGCAGAAATTAAGGGAGAAAACCTCCATTTATATATCTGTTGAAGTAGCATACACCAGTATACAACCAAGTAGCATATACTGTCATATAATCATGTGGCAGGTGGCAAAAGAAATGGTGTGTGTTTTCAAAATCTAATACCTGATTGGTCAGTGTGATTATAGTTGTCACATCTTGTATATTCTTCACCTACTATTAAAATCACAACCTATCTTTCAACCATATAGCAGATGGCATATACTAATATACAGTACAACCATATGGCAAGTAGTATATACTAGCATATAGCATATATTAATATACAGCATATACTAGTATATAGCATACAGTAGCATACTGCATATAGTTGTATATAGCATATAGTAGTATACAGTATATAGTAGCATATAGTATAAGTAGTATACAGTATATAATAACACATATTTCTAACTATTCTATTCTAATAAAATATATCTAAATAATAATTGTCTATTCAGTATACAACTCTCACCAATGATCACTTGTACCAACTTTTTACCAAAAGCAAGTAGAAGACTTAAGACTAGAAGTTAACAACAACTTAAAGTTTTCTTGATAAAACTGTTGTCGATGAAGTCTTTAAATATAATACACTGAAGAGCAGGCATTGTAGATAGTTTGCAAAGGGATTAAGCCTGTTTCTTTTTTGGGATGAACTCCCATTTGCATTTGGTATTCAAACCAAAGGAAGCTTTGAAAACAGAAAGTAGAAAGTAAACTTAAGTTTGTTTGAAGACAAAAGGTTATAAAGAACTCTTGAAACAACACTCTCTAGTTAAAAACTCACAAAACTACAATACCTTTTGCTGTTTTTCTTTTGTTTATAATTTTTGATAAAAAGTAGAGATTTGGCTTATCACCTTCAAAAGATCGGCATTGTTTATCACTTCTATTTTTAGAAAGTCACGAGTTTTGATATAACGATTAGAGAACAAAACAAATCACATGTGAGAAGGAAGTTTTAATAAATATCTAGGTTGAGGAATGTAAGTGATGTGCACTATGTTTGGATCAGGCATAGCTATTAGATAGCCCCTGTTCAGGATGTACTAGGAAGTAGCTTCCAAAGATGGTAATCGAAAAGAACCAATCCTGTTAACCTGGAATATAAAGGAGTATGTTCGAAATGAAGAACTATAAGAGTCAGGACTGTTTGTAATCAGGGTCCAGTTAAGCGAAGGAGTCATTAGAATCAATGATCATATGATTAAAGACTTTGAAATCAGATATTCTAGAATTCGAGATAGATTTAATAGAGAGTTGTAAACTAGAGCGATAATTTGAAAATATGCTTATTCCAAAGTCATATGCATATAATTTTTAGCCCTTAAGACAGGTTAAAATACATTTTAGTTTTTAGTTTCTTTTATTTTTGTCAGATAGCTCTATGTATAGAATTCTATAACCATGTAGATAGTTTTTACCTGGTTAGCAAGTTTTATATCTGAAGATAAGTTCTCATAGATTTTAGGATAGTTTTTAGATTCCTTTATAATTTGGTCATTTTCTTTATATATTTGTTTATATCTTATCCCATTCTTATATTTCTCATACTTCTTTTTTTTCTTTTTTACTTCTCTACGAGAAAGTGTTATCAGATTGACAACACTCTATTGTAGAGCAGTGATTCTGACAAGGTTGGTGAAAACCATCTGTTGATATCTGGGGTTTATATCCTCAGAAAGTTGAGGATCCTAGAAAAAGAAAAATTGTTCACTTAGACAGATCACTTCTGGGTTATACTCTAGCATAAAATTACAGGTAACTATAATTTTATTGTAATAATGAGATAGATCGAGAAAATTTTTATTTGGACAGGTATATAGTAATAAATAGTTAGATAATAGGTTTAGTCAACTAGATTCTTACTATAAGTTACTGCTGATTTATAAAATAAAAGTAGGATTGCTGAAGTAAAAAAAAATGTCTAGAGTAAAGTGACAGATTTATACTTCTATACTCTTTAATAACTGAAATTATATTTTTAATATATTTATAATAAAAATATCAAAAATATAGTTATTGAATTTTCTAGTTATAATACTATATACCTTTATTTAGTGCTTCTACAAACCCAAACCAAATTAAACTTTTAATCTAGTTTGAATTTAGTTTAGTTTAAAGCTGAACTCAAATTCAAACTTTTTTTAAAAATAATTTTTGGTTTGAGTTTAGCTTTAAACTTTTTAGTTAAGTTTGAGTTTAGTTTAGGTTTGGTTTGTAAGTTTGCAAATATATTTGAAGTTTAAAGTATTTAAATGTATTTTTAAATTTTGAATTAGTTTACTTATTATACAAAAGTACTATTAATTAATAGCATTTTGAGTAATTTAAGATTTTGCATAATTTTACTAATACAATTATAGAAAATATTAAATTACTTAAAATTTTACTAATTAATAGTGTTTTAGTATCATAAGTGAACTTATTTAGAACTTAAAAATATATTATAACAATTTATTTTATTTTATCTTTCTTCAATTTTAAAGTGAAGATATCAGGGAAATTTTTAAATAAGGTATATATCAATTATTATCGGCAGGGGTGATTGGCATTATACATGTCGATGAAATTATTTTAGGTTTCGGGATACAAAATTAAAATTTGAAGACAAAATTGTTTTTAATCTATTTTACTTAATTGATGATCCGCCAGTCATCTAAACAAAATGATCTACAAATACTAATTAAAAATAACGCACTTTTATTAATCAAAAACCGGTTTTAGAAATGTACAAATTTTTTAATATACGTACGTATGTACTTATATGATTAGTGCATGACACAGTCAAATATAAAAGTTGGTGATAAATATATATATAATAGTTATATCCTGGGAACTTGGATACAAGCGGAAATTTTATTTCTGCTTATACGCATAGTGCCTGGGGTATGATTTATACTCTGCGATCTTGATATAGTGACCAGGGTATAAATATAGACATATATAGAATCTACAATTGTTGGCTCAAGTATTGAACAAGTTTTTACTTGTGCAAAAATTAGAACTAGCTTAGTCAATAAAAGTGCTTATACGAGATCCCCAAAGTATTAGACCCACCATGAATTAGATCCAAGTGCAAACCGCGAAATCTTTATTAATCAAACACATTTTTTTCGATTAGCTAGGCACTTATTATAAATACAAAGCGTATATTTACTTTAATTTTTTTCTTTACATGATATAGCCTCTCAGCATATACTAGACCCAGATCTATTAAAAGATTTTAAAATTGGTGAAATGTAAAGACACAGATCTTGTATATGCACCTTTACGGTACATATTAGTAGGTATGAATTACATTTTAAAAGAACTAATATATCACATAAAAGAGTTGTATTTATAACTAACATGAGCTTGATTATAGATGTATAAGTTTATAAAACAATACAAGGATGAATGAGTAGAAACAAGGATATCAATAATATAACAATTCTGAAGATTATATCCTTGTTTTAGAATATGCAAGAATGGGTTCTTTGCGTCAAAATCTTTGCTCTGTAACACAAATGAGATGGATGGACAACTTTATTGTGTTGCATTCTTTCTAACCTTCGAATAATTCATTCTCAAGAACTTACTTGTCGAGGTTTGCATAGTGGTAATATTTTACAAGATCAGTTATATAGTGCATATATTGTAGATTTGGGACTTTCAATATTAGCGAATATTGTGATGAATACGGAATTTATAGAATTTTATCATATATGGCACCAGGAACTTAAAATAGAGGTCATATTCAACAGCACAAGGTAATTATTCATTTGGTATAATTATGTAAGTAATTTTATATGAAAAATTTGCATCATATAATCGAAAATTTGGACTATAGCTACAAATAGAAATATGACAAACGGTTATTGAGGACACTTCACAATGTTTTACAGGTCTAGTGAGAAAATATTGGGAAAGAGATCGAGTAAACTGCCCATCAGCACTAAAAATTTGAAATCCTTAAGGAATAGGAAGTACAGCTAGATGGTAAGAGGATTGTATTTTTTATGATTGATTAGCATACTAGTTTTTTTAGCTATAAATTATGAAATTGTTCGATTTTAAAATAATCGCTGCTTAATCCATTTTTTTGAAGAAACTGAATATTGTCGTGCTAATCTCTTATGTTACCTAAATTATTTCAGATAAATTTGAAGAATGCAAATTACATATACCATCATATATAATCGCACATAAGATTTACAAAGAATTTTTTAAGGGAAGTTGAAGTAATTAATCTATTTATGATTTGATATGAATAAATTATTGACTTTACAATCTTTTTAATATGTTTTAAGTGAGAATAGAATATAAGTGGATTTGGAATTTCTCAGTTAAATTAGAGTTAGGATGTATATATAGAGTTTTATATATAAATTCCTAGTCCATTTAAATTTCGTTTTCATTTACAACATATATAGTTTATTGAAATTTAAATAAACTATATAATTGTGATATTAATAAAAATAAAAAATTTTCAATAACTTTTAAGACATTTCCATTAGTGTTCCAAATCATTAGTTGAAAAACTGAATAGTTGACAACTTTTCAACTAACCAGTTTGAAAATTTTTTAATCAACTAACCGATTTATAATCAACTAGTTCAACTACAGTTAACCATTAGTTGTCAACTAATTGTCAACTAACTGGTTGCCTAAGTTAATCAACTACACAACTATTTGCAACCAACTCAATCGCAATAATATTGTTTAGATCTAAACATATCTTATTGGTATCTCTGTTCTACTACAATATTGTGTAATAAGGTAGCTGTGTGACATCATCACGCAAAACTAGGAACAGGAAAGTATCTAAATATTAATCTGATTCTGCGATTTTTGCGATATTTGATCAGATATATTAAATTTAGATCATGCTATGGTTAGGGCTATTAATTAGTCTGACTGAAACATGGTCTTGCACTCTGTCTTAGACCGGGCCAGTTTGGTACGGACCAAAAGGCTATCGATTCTAATTTAGTATAAAATTATTGTAGCGAATATATATAGCCTAATTTTTTGTAATTTGTTGAGTTTAGATTATGAGCATTATAATATACAGTACAGCAAGTAGGCTTGAGTTCAGATAAGACTAAAATTTATAATATTTTGTATATAAATTTTCAGAAAATCAAGCTATAAGAATCATAAATCACCACGAATAAAAAATTAGTAATAGATACATAGACTATTTCAAGTCAATTAATAAATAATATTAACTTGAAATCAGTACAGAACAATAAACTAATAAGAAGTGCATACATTGAAAAATTAAAAAATTATGGGGCCAAAGATTCCTCAGAAAATAGCGACTGGATTTTATTGAATGAAAATTTGCTAATTTACCAGAACCAAATTGATTATTTAAAATCTAAGTTAGTCGCAGTCGACGCAAAATTATTACTTACCGTTTACTAGAAACCGGTGAGGAAATAACCATTCAATTAACTAGTACCGAGTCCTACTTTAGATGGTAGCATACATGATTGTATATATCCATCTCATATTTATATTCATATACACATCGTATTCCATCTAACCAGTTTGCTGAAAGTCTATTACCAATCTTTTGAACATTATCTAATCTATTAAAAGGAATCCACTCGATCAAATCTTCATATTCTGTGGCTTTAAGTTGTAATTCTTTGATGCAATTATCGACATCTTTATTTCTACTTGTCCATCCTTGTGCTGTTTTCTGAGGACCACATGTTTGACACAAAGCTTTTGATGTGTTATATCAGTTGCAATTTGCACACTTTTCAAAATATTCATCTCTTTTAAAATCATGAACTAATATATACTCATTTGTTGCGCTTTCCTGAATTAGTCCATATACTTTAAGGGTGTTACTTTCTGATTGCATGAGATCTTTAAACTTATAACTATAAATATAAATGTATGTATTAATAAAGCGAATATGCAATTAATTTTAACTTACCCTATCTAAACAATCTAATGAGTTTTGAGAACTATGTAATATTTTAAGTATCACTTTACATGGTGATGTATGTAACCATATATATTTATATACATTTTCTACATATCATTCACCATCTAACTAGCAAAAGTTTGGCAATTAGAATTTTATCCAACAAGTTTATTCAGACTCCTTATAAAGAAATCCATATTCATGTTATTACGGAAGACGGAAGTATGAAAGTTCTTTTAAGCCATACATTGTTTTCGAGTACTTTGATTGGCAAATTATTTTATACTTACCAGTTAAATTTATAACTTGAATAAGTAACTTAGTGAGGAATGGCAGATAATTTATAATCTTACCAAGATAGAATAACTTTAGGTGTAACAAAAATTTTTTTGACATATTTTAGACTATACTTACAGACTAATTTAATATAAATATAAAAAATGGTTTATTTTAATTACACCCACTATATGATCATTGCAATGGCGGGAATAAGAAGTAAATTCCTGGTTGTATAAGGACCCTCCAGGCCCTTATACAACCAGAGATTTACGGTTTATTTCCTACAGTGGAAAATAAACTTCATTGCACTCTATCTGGTACTATCTTATATACTTTGAATTTTACATGTGCATATGATCATACTAGTCCTATACGGCATCACATGCTGCGCAGCTATCTTATACAATAACCAACTAACCAACTAACCAACTAACCAACTTAACCAACTAATCAACTAACTAACTAATCGATTAAATTGGTCACGTGATATACGTAATCGGTTAGTTGCAACTATAGTTGGCAACTAACCGGTTGGTAAAATTTTAATCAACTTGGAACACTACCAAAGATGTTTATTAGTAATGAAATACTAACTAGCACACCTTCTTATACTAAGCCGAATAGCACATAAATATTTATCGATTTCTGCTACCTCAGTTTTATGCGAAAGGCTTTTTTCTGATGCTAGAGTTCAAATTACTCCTAAACAAACTTGTTTGTCTTCTGAAGTTGTTAATAAATTGTTATTTGTTAAGAAAAATAGTTTATATTGTAAAAGTGCTTGAACTTAAAATAGTTTTTGTTTATAATTAAGTAAATCTGATAGCTAAAAATAAAATATTGAAGTATAATTTATTTAGCAGAAGTTAGAAAAAACATATTTAAGATTTAGTAAACTAATAAAAAATTGAACTATATATAAACTTGCTAGTAGTAATAGACATTTTTATTATATTATAAAATTCATGAATATTATAATAGATCATATATTCTATAGTAATTATTTCAATATCTAAAAAAATTTTAACTGCTATATAAAATGTTCTCTTAAAGATAATCTTATACATTATCACAAAAACACTAGAGCCTTCAAACTTAAATAGTTTGCACTAAGTTAAATGATCATACAAAATAGTTGCTACTATGATGAAAAAAACCAGATTTGTCAGAATTTATAAACAATAAACACAAAAACTAAGTATAAAATTACCTAGAATATTTGAATCAATTGATCTTGATATATGAGAACTAGCAATATGATTATAACAACTTCATTACTTATTCCAGAAAGATAATATATTACTAGGATAAATGATAACACAGCAAAAACAATGCAAATACTAAAATATAAAGGTGAATTAGACAAGATCTTTAGTAAAGCTATACATAACAAAATTAGTATATATTCATAAAGTAGTATATACTGGGTAAAATTTTATTGGATATATCTGTTGATCACCCAGATATATCAGATAAAATTTTATACTCAGATATATATACTAATCACTTGGCTAATCCACAGGTTTATTCATTAAGTAACCTGGATAGTGATTTTTCCTATAGATACAATCTCTAATTTAAGGTAAGTTTAAAAAAAAAATTAGACAAAAATAAATTTGTCGAGGAGGAAATTAGTGTTAGTGAAGATAGTTTAAACGATACTAAAACTACAAATATTGATGTAGAAATGGCAAAGAATTTATTTAAGAATGCAAAATGATTATTTTTCGAATTGTAAAAATTTTTATTAAAAATTTACAAATACAAATAATTATTTTCAAATTGTAAATTTATTTTTATTAAATAAAATTTCTATTATTTTGCTACAATCAGTTTCATAAAAAATTATCACGATATTACCTCAATATTACCTAATATTATGACAAATTTAATTTAAAAAATTGTCGATATTTTGTATTAAATTACCTACATGAACAAAGTTTTTTACACAAAAAATAAAATATCAATTACTGCTATCTTATAATTTCTAGAACATCTAATAAAAATTGACTGATTCGATTAAGTTTCAATAAAAATACAAAATTGTATATATGTGCATAAGTATATATGTATGTAACTTTTACTTTGGCAACTAAATAGTACGAAATTTTACTAGCACTACTAGACTTTATATGTCTACAAAATTTTTGGCCAACAAACTTATATGTAAAATTATCTAAATTTCTATTTGTATATAAAAGTCATAATACTAGTTCTACAAATATCGACATGTTTGATATTATTAAATTTTTATTTGATGTATATGTAATTTAGATCCAAAATCAATGACTTAATCAGAATGGCCAAAAATTATTTGGTCAATTTTTATAAGGTGTTTCAGGAATCGTGAAAATAGCAGTAACATATTATATTTGTATACAAAAAATATTTAAGAAGATTTATATTATTTGGCATGAAGGGTACTTTAATCTACAAGTATAGTATATCTTTAAATTATTATTATAAAGTTAAAAATTGATTGGCTAGGCGTTTATGCAAGTTAGGATGATTATAATCTAATTTGAATAGTTCTACCTCTAGATCACTATCAGTTATATCAGTCAGTTAGCTGCTCTGACCAGTTACAGTTAATAACTACAACTAAATGGTTATAACTATAACAGAATTAATTCTTATTTTGAAGCATAATCTTAATAATTAAAAAATAGATAATCAATGTTTAATAAGTTTTAATTATAATCACTATCATTGATGAGATGTTCTTGACAAAAAAAATTTAATTTTTTTATAATAAGTAGCTTGTTATCGAATTGTAAGATTTGATAACTTTATAGATCATATGCTTAGATTGGCCTTTTATGAACTATAATAGATTGCTGTATTGTTTTCATTAGATCAGATTGTTTTTAGTTAATTTTATAATTGTTAAGTGACGAACAGATATGAATGCTAAAAAATTAGTGCTAAAATAATGGAGTATTTTATATAACATTAGGAGTGAATCAAATCAATGAAACAGAGAGAGAGAGATGTAATCAGTATTGGGTTTACTTATAAGTCTAGTATAATTGAACTGAAACTGGACTTATAGATCCAGTGGTCCAGTTTATAAGTTTAGTAGTCCAGTTTATAAGTTCAGTAGAGTAGACTTTTGGTTCATAGCCTAATACTAGATGCTATATGTATATTTAAGAGCAATGTTTTAATAAAAAAAGTTTATCTTACTCTTTGCTATTGCTTGCTTTGCAAGAAGGCTACTTTATTATCTTTTCCATCTCGTTCACAGTGCAGTGACCCACAATAAGTTTAAATGCTTGATAGTTGACTTGTCTGACAAGGTGTGATGTTAGGCAATATTAGTATAAAGATCTGGTGTTGGTTTAGTTTTTTATTTTGTAACTATGAAGCTCCACTACTGCTGCTATAGTATAAAGATATTGTTTTTGTAATGATTAGACTCTAGGCTGCAGTAACAGACAAGGAGTATAATACCTAGTTTTTGTTTTAGACTCCATGGCTATCATAGTAGTGCATAAAAATTCACTAAATAGGTTGTAGGCTCTGTGGCTGAGATAACAGTGCTGTGTATTTAAAAAGCCCAGTTTATTTCTAATCACTACCATAACTCAATCCTGTATATACCTGAGTACTTAAATACATATGCATGAACTTTATTAATGCTGATCATACTGATCTCATATAGCACTACATATTACAAACTACCTTATTTGATAATATATAATTAATTAGGCTAGTTTGAATAGAGCTATAATATACGGTTTTAAGAATTAGATTATATAAAATTTCTTTAAGTTGTTGGATCAAAGTATGCCAGAATTATCTTAACACAGGGTAGGTGAACTACTGATTAAGATATTAAATTGATCAGTTAAAAAATTTTTGGAGAGTAATTCTGATTCTTATTATGTATATATATATATTTTAGATTTTTATCAGTGTTTTTTATATTCTTACCTTGCTGTTGGTTATATTTTAAATCCAATACTATATTTTTTGATATTTATTTTAGAGATTTAACTTGTTTATTTTTTATAATATTTTGGCTCGTTTTAAACTCAGTTTCTTTGGCTAGCAGTTTTATTTTTTACGTAAATTCTATAACTGATTATATTATACTACATAAGTCATGTTTTAATTAAGATTTATAGTTATATTAAAGTGCATGATATATATTAATGCACTGTATAGCTATTAGTATCAAATATTAGTTTATTGACTGATTTCT